TATACATATAGGTTCATTCGCATAGAGGTTGATATATACTGCCAGGCCCATAGTATAGAGGCTCATGCATAAAGTCAGACCCAGACCCACTTATGTATGCATCTGTATCATTGTAGTCCTTCTTACGTATGAATCTGTATATCCCATGAGATAACCAACCAATACTACGGTTGCCATGGCAACCGGACTGAGAGATCGTCGCAGCTTTACAACAGTAGGGATGCGGTGTGACCCCAGTAGACAACGATGTCATAGTTCGATTTCCATGTCTGTACTTTTATATGTAATACGTTTATCTATACCAATGGTTCGCTAATATTATATATGCAATACGTTCATCTATACCAATGGTTCGCTAATATTATACTTGCATTACGTTCATCTATACCAAATGGTTCGCTGATGTTTGTCGAGGACATCCCAGACCACACCTATGGCAGCGCTCAGTCGCATTGTACGACAATAGCGATACATCGAGACCACGTCAGTGGACCAAGTCAAAAGTTATTTTCTATATGTTTACCTATATGCTTCACGGTCATCCACACGTATTCTTCTTTGTCTGCCAGGTGTCTTCACGTATGCATACCCCATTCACCCATAATCATCCTCATTTACCTGACATATATATCCCAATGGTAGGACATTCCTGACCAAACCTACGGTGGCCCGTACAACCAGATGGGCGGGTCGTCGCAGGCGTATTCGCGCAACAACAGCGGCCGCAGCACCTACAACGAGTCCAAGTCTGGGCTCAAACACTTCTCAGCGTACATGCTGTTCTATGTCAGTAGGGGACCTAAGCCTACGACAACCGCCACCACTGTTGGTAAGTATCATGTGTGTATGGGTGTAAGTGTGTGTGTATGGAGTCTGGGCTCAAACACTTCTCAGCGTACATGCTGTTCTATGTCAATAGGGGACCCAAGCCTACGACATCTGCCACCACCGTTGGTAAGTATCATGTGTGTATGTTTTTATGTGTGTGTGTAAGGATGTATGTGTGTGTGTGTGTATAAATGTATGTGTGTGTGTGTTTGTGTGTGTGGTGGGGGGTGCTTCGTGTTGGCAGTGGACTGGTGGTTTATATTCGTGTCTATCCATGTACGCTATAAGGTGGTTGTCGTTCTGATACGTGTATTTAATTACACTGTTGGTACGTATCAAGTGTGTGTGTGTGTGTAAGTATATATATATATATGTGTGTGTATGTGTGTTGTATGTGTATGTGTGTGAGGGTGGTGTGTTGGTGTGGACTGGAGTTATAACTATTCCAAAGTGTGTGTGTGTGTA